CGACAACGGTACCCAGTTCACCGACCACGGATTCCGAGACTTCGTCACCAAACTAGGGACCAAACATCACTTCACATCAGTCGAGCACCCTCAGACCAACGGGCAAGCCGAAGCCGCGAACAGAGTCATCCTCCGAGGGCTCAAACGTCGACTCGGCGAAGCCAAAAGAGGATGGGTCGAGGAGCTCCACAGCGTCCTGTGGGCATACCGCACCACACCCCACTCAACGACGGGTGAAACACCATTCCGACTAACGTACGGCACCGAAGCTGTCATCCCAGTCGAAATCATGGAACCGTCCCGACGAACAGAGGAACCCCTCGACGAAGAAATGAATGACGAAGCACTAAGGGATGAACTCGACCTAGTCGAGGAAATCCGATCGGGGGCTGCCCTGCGCGAAGCAACCCTAAAACAACGAGTGGCTCTACGCCACAACGACAAGGTCATCAAGCGCGAGTTCGAAATAGGCAGCCTGGTACTACGCAGAAACCAGAAAGACTCCCGCGAAGGGAAGTTGGCCGCGAACTGGGAAGGACCTTACCGCGTCCACGGCACCACGGGTACCGGGGCGTACTACCTCGAGCAGTTAGACGGAGAGCCATTACCAAGACCCTGGAATGCTGCTAAGTTGAAGCAGTACTACAGTTAGAAACTGTCAACACCTAGGACCCTCGACCAAAAGCAAACACGCTCGGGCAACGAGGAAAAACGTCCAATTTCGTTTAAGGCTAAGGTACAGGCCCGACACACGACCAAAATGGCACGGCATCGCGCGGTAGACGTTGACGATCGATAGTGCCCGACGTGGACAGCTGTACCGAGCCCCACCGTCGTCGTACCCATAAGGCAGAACACCCAGCTCGCGATGGGCAGTTCACGCCAAGGGCGAATCGTCCCTACGGGCTCCACGCCCGACTGAGCAACCTCGCTCCGAAATGCCCGACATTCCATCAAGAATAACGGGACATCTACAAGGGTCAAAAGAAAATCTCTCCCCTCGAGCGAAACACTTAAGCAACCCCGGCCAACCGAAATAGGGCCGAGATTGCACACAAATGGAGACGAGCATAGTCGCTCGCCAAATCAAAGCCACCTACGGGCACTCCTCGGGCCCGGGACTTGATCTAAATTCATACAAGCATGTGAGTTCATACAAGGGCAGAAAATCCAAAATAAATAACAAGGTATAAACGCCCGAAGGCAACAAAGCAATATTAAACCGACCAAGAAGGCCGGCGGTGTTCAAAACATGCAATAAACGGGCACACAGGCCCAAAGAATACGAATACAAATATCAAGGGCGCGCAGGCCCGCTATCCAAAGAATACAAATATCAAACTTCTACATTATCATCATTGTCGACGCTGGGAGAGTCGGGCGGAGGAATGATCGCGCCACCTACAACCCGGTGGGTGTGCCCGATGCCCTCGGTGATCAAGCCAGGATTTAGCAACGAGAGCTGGTCGACTGCAGAATTGAACCCGTCTTCAAGAGCACCGACGCAGTCCGCCTCGAGGAGCCGGATATGGGCGATAAGCTCAGCCCGACTCTTCAAAATCACTAGGTCCTCGGGCTCATCTTCGGCAGGTTGATGGACAGCATTCAGTTCCTCAACCTGTTTACCCAGGCGTTCGACTTCAGCAGCCAAACGATCCCTGTCGGTCCGGAGCAACTCCCCTTCCTCAGTCAACCTCCCCGACTTCTCCTTTTCCAGAGTCAGCATATCCCTCTCGGCATCAAGTATCGCGGTCTGCTCTCGGAACATCTCCTCGGAGCGTTCCAGAGCGACCTTCAACTTCCGCGAGCTCGCACTCAGGGCCGCCTTCTCCTGCTCGAGCTCTTTAACACGAGCAGCATCCCCTGCATCCTCAGATAACACCAGAGCCATTTCGGCCATTTTAACCAGCCCGTCCACGCTGGCGACCAGACGCGACTTCCTCTCCTCTTTAGTCATCCTCTTGATGGCCTCAGCTTCATGAGCGACCACTGTCGGAGGGAACCGCTCAAAAAAGCCCGCCTCTTCGAAGCAAGGGGGGAAGGCAAAAGATTGAACAGCACCGGCATCTTCCCCGACAGTCGAACCGCCTTCCACGCGGGTCCTCTTCCTCTGCGTCAAAACGGCGCTGGGGTCAATCTCCTCGACCTCTGGATCTGACGCTGCTCCCGAGCTCGACGTCGAATCCACCCTCACCGGCTGAGGAACGTTCAGACTTGGTGGTGGTCCCATTCTCGTCGTCTGCGGGGCCTGCACGACCCTTTTGCCTCGCCTCTGGCCGGTTGATAATTTCAGGAGCCTCTCATGTCGGCTGGCCATCGTACCTGCACGAAATAAAAGAAAAGTCAGTATCGAGCAAACTGCATTAATAAATGACGAATAAAGTATTTCAAGCAAACAACCTAACAGGCGGGCTGCCTGCCTATATGACGAACATTCCACCAACGCCTTGGTGTCGATCGGGCGAGACTCAAACGTCGGGTAACCGTCTTTGTCGAGGATATCGTCCCCTTCCCGAGTAACCCATTGGGCGGGATGAAAACTGTCGACAAACCGACAAAGAGCCTCATACGACCGTTGATCTTCCGTGCACATATCCCCGACTGCGGTATGGAAATAACCTGTTCCATGATCGTAGTGTCGGGACATCCAATACACCGGGAACTTAGCCCTACGACCTAACACGGGGCTCCCGTCGTCGGCCAACATTGCTTCCCCGTCATCATCGCTGACCGGCCCTTCCTCCTCGAAGAGGGAATCTACAGCAGAGTCGGTAGTAGGGCGCACCACATACCACTTGTCCTTGAACCCCCTCACGGAGTCCATATACATCCTAAACAGTCTCCTCGACTGCTTAAGGGACACCCAGCTGTGCTTCCCTCCTCGGGACTGACGCTGCAGGTGAAATACCCGAAAGAAAAGAGGTATGGTCGCCCCTATCCTTAAGTAGCGACACGTCAGCTCAAACGCCCGGATGAAGGCGAGAGAGTTTGGGTGTAGCTGGGACGGGGCCAGCTCCAAATGCGTAAAGACCCCGGTCTGAAAATCTGTGAACGGCAGCCGAAACCCTAAGTCTTTAAACGCGATCTCGTACATCGCAAAGCTGTAGTCCGGGTACATTGAACAAATTCTCGCATTGGTCGACGGAAGCATGACCACGAAATTCTGCTGAAAGTCGGGCTGGTCCTGCCCCTCTTTAATAGCGGTGAATGGATGTCGGTCATCCCGACTGTATATCGACGCCGTCCCCCGAGGCTCGGCACCCACCCATTCCAGCGATGGGTCGGTCACGGTATCTATAAGGGTCGCCGACTCGTCGGCACTCGGTTCTTCGCTATCACGACGACCGGAGGAGCTCGGCTCATCCGCCATGGTTACCTGCAGAGCACGGGAAACCAATCAGATTGAGCATGAAGTCCTATGCTCGACATAATCATGTCGTCCATACACTACTACACGTCCATTTTCACAAGTGGATGCCTCCCCGACTCTCCTGAACCCAGTGTTCTTCCTCAAACCAACTGCGCGGCCATTCTTCAAGCATGTCGACCCGAGGTATGAACATGGCGAGCCGCACTATGAAGCCCACGACCACGACCATGAACGTACCGGGCACGGTCATGAATTAGGCGCCCGGATCATGAAGACCCCGGGCAGCTCTGAAGTTTTTCACCTAAAACTACGAATGTGTCGGCCATGAGTATGCGTTTGCCGGTCCTAGACATGAACATGTCGGGCAAAACACGAATCTACCGGGCTAATCCCACGCACACGATCCTAAAACATCTACAAATTCCAGGAATCATGCATTCTAAAACGGAAAAATGAAGAAAGTAGATCACTTACTTGGATCAAAGTTGGGATTTGGCTAAGAAATGAAGAATCTGAGACGGGAAGTCACAACTGGAGAGAGTGTTGAGAGCGGCAACGGAGAGAGCACGGAGAACGGAAAACGTATTATGGGGCCCAAGGACCCTATTTATAGTAATGACGTGGAATACCAAACGTCACCTCGTTCAGCCACGGACTCCATCTCCTCGACGCGCTGCTCCCAACGCAATGATGGCCCTACCCCCCTAGGGTGGCGGCACAACTCCCGAAAGATGCCTCGTATGCTCGACTGACGCGCCCGGTACGGATCCTCCACGCATCCACCACCGAGGACGTCTCCGAGCACGGCACGAGGAGACCCCTCGAGGGTCCACGCCTCCATCCCGGGCACGAGACCTCAGCGACGGAACAACTTTGTTTCAAGTCATGGCTCCTCGCAAAGGAACCACGACTTGGGGGGCTCCTGTTCTGGACTGGGCCCGACAGGCCCAAAAGCATTACTAAGGCCCAGTCCAAAGGGACTCACTAAGGACCACACCGGGCAAAGGGGGTCGCGTCCATGCCCGACACCCTGATGTCCACCTCGACATCTCAATGTCCAGCCCCACGCAGCGAAGTCATGCTCGACACCCTGCCGTCCGACTCTGTGTCCTGATGTCCAGCTCGACACTCGCTGTTCAGCTCGAGGTCTTGGCGTCGAGCTCGGCACCGTGCAGCGCAGCTCGACATGATCTCGAGCTACCTGGCTAGGGCAGACTCAGTCCACCGTTACCCCAACGATACTCCGGAAAGACCGCGTCTCTGTCCGCCCGCACTTCACGCAGCACATCCAGGAAGGGGACCACGTGCTGATCCCCACTACCCACGTAGAACCTGGCAGTTCCTCCATTGGGCCAAATCCGCCCGGCCCAATGAAGGAACCTTGGCCCAGCGCTGGGGGCTATAAATACCCTCTGTTTCCAGAGGGTCAGGTATTCATCATTCTAACCTCAACTCTACTATCTGCTCGTACTCCCACTGACTTTAGCATCGGAGTGCCTTGCAGGTACCCCCCCTCCTCGTTCAAAAAGCCTTCAGCTCGGAGTAAGCCGTGACGGTCCAAACCTTCTGATCAGGTCAGATCAAGTACAATCAAGTATGATTGAAAAATATTTTGATTCCACAACTTTTTTTATAATTTTTTATTTATTTCATTTGCTAGCAAATCTATTAATTCATTTTGTATTCTATGTCCAAGATAATGGTTATGAATTTTATCATTTTTTATTCGACGAATGTGCTCTTGCATTAGATGATCAAATTCTGCAATCATTTCAATTAGACATAAAAAATTTCCATTATTTTCTTGATAAATCTTTTCGTTTGTTCCACGAAATGCTAAGTTATTTTTTCCAAGAGTTTTAACAACTGCAATGATTCTAAGTAATAAATTTCTCCAGTGCTCTCTTTCTCTATTAATTCTTTCTTGAACATTCTTGTCAATTGTTTTATATTTTAATAATCTCATTTCTAAATCAATCCATGAACTCATATTAACAATATGCTCATTACTCATCTCATGACTCTTCAACTTAGCACTAATATTTCTCCAATCATTACTACCTTCATGTGCTAATTTACTTGTACTATGAAGAGCATTAAATAATTTACAACAAAAGCAAAACACTTTATCCAATTTTTGAGAATAAACCAACCATCTCCTTTCACGCTTCTCTCCGTTGGATAATTGTTGAATGTAAAATGATGAAGAAAAGTGTCTTGCATATGCATCCTTAGGAAAATCTATATCGGTAACTTTAATAGGACCATTTTCTACTAATAAATCTCTCAAATTTGTGTCAATAGTTGTCCATTGACTTGGGTCATATATATTTTTATGAGATGATTTTTCTAATACTTTTTCTCTATCTTCATTGTTAGTGTCAGAATCAATATTATCTTGCCTATTAACCGATACTATAATTTCATTATCACCCGCTATTCCTTCTCTATTTTCATTAGCATATATATTGTTAACTTGTTCATCAACTACCTCTTCTCGATTTTCATTTTCATCATGGTTTACATTATTAACTTGTTCATTCAGCGAACAATCACTATTATTTTCGATTTCACTTTTTTTATTTGTCTTAACAAATTTGTCTAAAGCCCCTTTTTGTGATTCAATCAAAGCTTCAACTCTTTTCTTTTTCTTGAGTTTCGAATAGCCCGATTCATATTTTCTAGTCGACATTTATATATTTTAAAACAAATGAACAATTCAATCAAATCTTGAAAGTAAATAAATAAAATAAACAATTAAAATAAAACTCTAAATAAGACTAAAATAAACAAACAGAATAAAATAACTGAAATAAATAAACAAACTAAAATAAAACTAAAGAAATAAAAGAGAATAAAAAATATAAAATAAACAAAACAAGTAGTAACAAAGAAAATAGAACCTGTTTGTCGACAAAAACAGAATAGAAGAAAGAACCGCTTATTTGCCGTCAATCAAAAAAATAAATCGATGATTGATTGAAGATAGAGAATTAGAAAGAATTCAATAAACTAGAATATGAGAAAATGATGTTTGCCTCGATAGAAAATATTCAATTGCAGTTTAAGTGTTTGATATTGAAAGAAGAAGAAGAATCTGAGATTTGTGAAAATATTAAATCAATTAATACTAATTATTTTAGAATGTTAGGATTGGAAGAGAAAGAGTAAAAAAATTACAAAATTGAAAAAGTAATGACAGCTTTACGTGTCTGACCGGTAAACAAATTTATTAAAATTATTAAGTTAATTTAAATTAATTAATTGATGTTTATTTTTAGGCCTTAATATCTTTGATTCTAAAGATATATTTAAGGGCTTAAAGCCCTATCTTTACCAGCTTGGCCCAATGGCCGGCTCTGTAAATAAGACAGAAGGATTTATACTAATTCCTTTTAGCAAATTAATGATACGTCTAGTCCCTCTATTTCCATAAAGTATTTTCCACTATTTTTAGATTCTTGTACACATCTCACACCGAAAAAATATTCAGAACCTTCTAACACAATCACAAAGAAAGAACACTACTTTCTTAACCTTATACTTTTCACCACGACCATGATGAATAAGCACAACACACACTTTGTGAACACTTTTGAAGAAATTTTTTTGTTGTTGGCTTGAAATTCAAAATTAATACTTGTAATATTAGACTTCTCTTTCTTGAATTACAACTCAAACTTTTTTTATAAACAATGAAATTATCAATAGAAATCAAGTACAAGGGGTACTCGAATCCATAACAAACAAACAAAGTTAATCCCTCCGCTTAATACAATCCAAAGGAGAGTTAAACCAATCATAATAACTACAAAAATTAGACGAAATACAACCCATCCCCACCCATTTCCAAGACAAAAAAATGATAGAGGAGAAACATTCATCGTAACTGAAAACACTATCTTTAAATAAAATAGCATTCCATATAATCCACAGATTCCATAAAGTTTCAATCCATATGATCCCAATGGAATTTCTAGCTTCTAAGTTCTTTACTTGTTGAATAGAAACCAGATTAGACGGAGAACCATGGAAAGAAAAGTTTAGTCGGTTACCTGTCTATTTGTTCACTGCCTCCGAAATACGAGCCGAGCACACACAATAATTAAAAAGATGAGCAATATCTTTCGTTTCCCGAAGACAAAACACACATCAAGAATTCAAAGATGCGTGAATGAATCCTCTCTTGATAAGTTATTGTCTAGCCGGTAGCCTATCGAGAATCATTCTCCAACCAAAAATGTGGATTTTTGATGGAATCTTCACCTTCCACAAATTAGTTAGCAAGCCTTTCACTTCCGTCGGTAAATCTGAGCCGACACAATCCAGCTTATTATAACAATCTTTAACTGTAAAATATTCGCAGCCATTGTCCCACCATTCGAACTTGTCTTCCCCCAAAATCTGAGGCTCCACATCATTCAACAAAAGCATAATTTCCTTCTCCTGTTGGACTGCAATATAATTCGTGGCAGTAACATCAGAGATTATTTTCCAGTGCCATAAATCGTTGATCCATCATCCCGCATTTGCCACGCTTCCAAATTTATGCAAGGTCACCTCAAATGCTTCTGGATAAGCTTCTTTAAGCGACTGATTGGCCAACCAACGATTGTGCCAAAAAGAAATATCCGAACCAATTTTCAACCTGCATAAAACATTGTTACTACAAACATTCGAGTCGACACTGTTTTTCACCTAAACATTCGGCAAGTGTCTCCACCAAATCGAATCACAACTATGGGCAGCCTTAACACCTTCACAAAACAGCTTCAACACTGGATTATGGTATCTATAATGCAAAAGACCACTCCAAATCGCTTCCTTTTCTTTCATAATCCGCCATTTCCACTTAGATAACAAGTCCGTATTGAAAAGCTCAAGATTCTTAATACCTAGGCCTCCCTCCTTCTCAGATTTGCACACTTTCTCCCAACTAACCTAATGTCTGGTCCTCTTCTCGTCCGAACCTCCCCAAAGAAAATTCGCTTGAATCCTTTGAATTTCTTTCAGCACTTTCACAAGGGCTTTATAAAATGATAAAGAATAAATAGGAATAGAATTCAAGACAGAATTGATCAAAATTACCTTTCCTCCCAATGACAAAAGTTTGTTCTTCCAAACTGAAAGTCTGTGAGTAACATTGTTAATAACATCTTTCCACATATGGATTTTCCTTGGGCTATCTCCAATTCTCACACCTAGAAATTTAAAAGGGACACTGTCAATGCCACAGGACAGAAACGAGGCCACCGTGGACAAACACCCTTCACTCAAATTTATCTCGAAAATCTTGCTTTTGAAAAGTTAACTTTCAGACCCAAAATCATTTCGAACCCTCTCAAGACAGCTTTCATACCCCATAAATTCTCCATACTTCCATCCCCCAAAATAATAGTGTCGTCGGAAAAATGTAGCATATCAAAAGAGATGTCATCGTCTACACGAAAACCCTTGAAATCCCCTACCTCCACGACGTTGTTCATTATCCCGGTCATCCCCTCCATAGCAATCACGAAGAGAAAAGGCAAAAGTGGATCGCCTTAACGCAAACCTCTTTCTACACAAAAATCCTTAGTTGCGCTTCCGTTAACTAGAACTGACAAAGTACTGCTAAACACAAAAGCCTCCATCCACATCCCCCATTTAGAACCAAACCCCATCTTGTCCATACAGAATCTCAAGAAATTCCAACTTACAGTATCATAAGCTTTCTCATAATCAACCTTTAAAATCATGCAACTCCTCTTCTCTATTTTAGCCAAGTCGAGAATCTCATTCACCACAAGCACTCCATCTAAAATATTTCTCCCCGGAACAAAAGCTGATTGTTTTACTGAAACCAATTTTCCTATGACTTTCTTCAATCTTGCAGCCAACAATTTTGCCAAAATCTTGTACATATATCTTACCACGCAAATCAGCCTATAATCCAAAAGAGATTGTGGATTGGAAACTTTTAGTATCAATGTAAGAAACGATGCTGTACAACTTTTCGTCAACTTAGCCTTGTTGAGAAAGTCATTCACAAACATGTTAACATCCTCCTTAATAAGGTCTCACTTAGTCTTAAAGAAATCGAAAGAAAAACCATCATGCCCCACACTTTTATTTTCATGACAACTCCAAATGGCTTCCTTAATCTCCCGTTCACTGAAAATAGCCTCCAAATCCAAATTATCCTCCTCTATCAAACATTGAAATGAAACCCCTTCAAGAACCGGTCTTGAGGAACAACTTTCTCTAAAAAAAACCTTCCTAATGACTCCTAACCGCCTCCTTAATTTCCTTCACTCCTTCCACCTTACCAAGATGAGATTCTAAAACCGAAATATGATTTCTCCCAATTCTCTCTTTGACTGAGTTATGAAAAATGTAGAGTTTTGATCCCCTTCCTCCAACCACACTTGTCTTGACTTTTGTCTTAGATTACTTTCGTTAAAATTCAAATTTTCTCCACATAACTTCAACCGCCTTCGATCTGTCTACAACAATCCTAGAACAATTGTCTCCCTGCTTAAGAACCAGTAACTCGTCACACTTGTTTAGCTCCTTAAACCTTTGTCAACATTAAGATCAATCCAACAAAAAACCACTTTATTCCACCACTTCAATTTCTCCTTTAAAATTTTAAGCTTCTCTTTAAATCTGAAATCGCCCTTCCCCTCCACCTGCATCTTCTTCCATTCTTCCTCAACAAACGCCCCAAAGTCTATATGTTTAATCCAACAATTGTTGAATCTAAAAGGTTTGGGGCCCCAATCCTTACACACGGTTTCAACCATATAGGGCAATGATCAGAGATATCACAATTTCCCACTCATTGCCATGATATCTTCCATATGTTTATGATGTTTACCGTGAGCAAAAATCTGCCCAGTCTGCTCATAGCATTCCCCGCGTCCTTAAACCACATGAATATGCCTCCTACACACGACAAGTCGATGAGCTCCATATCCTCAATGAAGGATTTGAAATCCTCACAACCAGAATTTCTATACCTTGTAAACATACCAATACACTCATCCTTTTCGCAAACAGCATTGAAATCCCCCCTAAGCACCAATTATCATTACCAAACATATGTTTAAAATCCAACAAATTGTTCCACATTCTCCTTCTCCGTCCAGAGTTACATGATGCATAAATGTTCATAAAATTATAAGAATTCCCATTCCACAAAGCATTAACTCCCACAAACCCTTCACCCCTAAAACTAAAATTAAGAGATAACAGGTTCTTTTTCCACATAATCAACATACCTCCAAAAGCTCCCTCCGCTCCACAACTCGTCCACTCGACCTCCTTATTGCCCCAGAATTCTATAACTAGAGAACTATCCATCACTTGAATCTTGGTTTCTTGGATGAAAAAAATGTCAAAATTACCAGACTGAATGCACGAACCGATCCTCTTCTTCTTAATCCTACTCCCTCCACCTCAGATGTTGAAAGAGAGTATATTCATGATGAATTATGTTTTTTCGCCTCCTTTCTATTCATGCCCTCTTTGTCTCTATTTTCCATTATTTTGATTGCTTCGATCGCTTCCACTTTATCAATATCAATTGTAATCCCTAATCTGGAAACGGTTTCCCACACAATCCTTCCCACCTCAGACTCCATGTTTTCCCAAAATTTGTTATTGCCTTGATTAACATCGGACAACGTTGTTGAATCACAACACAAGACCGCTCCTTCTGAGAATAGATCATCGCTTGAAGACGATGGTTGGTCGCAGTTGGTTCTAAGAGAGTTGAAAGCCATCGACAAATCCTCGCCAACCTTCACCGCCATGCACTTTCTGCTAGCTTTTTCAGGCCACTGGGACTGATCCGCACTTTTACCTTTTATGGGTTGAATAATTGCAAAGTATGTGGACTGAGCCACTTCCTGATGGTGAATATCCTTAAGGAATTTTATTTTCTTCTTTTTGGGCTTCTGATTTTTCAGTTTCAAACAGGCCTCATCAAAAGTTATTGGGCCTCTAAAAACAACCTTCGCATGTCCACTCAAAAAGTCCCCTTCAGACCAAGACAAATTTCCTTTCTCTAAACACCGCTTAGACTTCCTCGAAATCACCATAGGATTAACACACGAAACCTGCTCCTCAATGATGCTATAGACCATAGCCCTAGGACCGGTGTCAGAATTGACGTTCACCAAATCACCACCTTCCAAACAACAACTTTTCTTGCAGAGGGTTGAATAGACTGTGGATATGAACAAACCGGAAAGTTATTCTCCTTCCCGAAGACCATCAGCGTTGTTTCCTGCTTTCTCCCTTCATCTATCACATCATCATGTACGATATCATGATGAATTTCCACCACCTCCTCATTCTCGAATAATGCTTCATCTTCTTCATTGATAACCTCAAGACTCGTGTTAACATCTCCTATTCCAACCCCCACTACTGAGTCATCGTCTGAGTCTTCATGGTTGCTATCTGAGTCTTCAACAGCCACCGCCTTATTTCTCTTAACAAGAAATTCCGTCGGACCCTGAGCTTCTTCCATAATCTTAATCCTAAAAACAGCTCCATCTATCTGAGTATTACAAACTTCCTCGATAACCTTAGTGCATCTAGTCCTGATCATGAAACGAGCCACGTCTAATCTCGATAGATTCAAAGTATTATCATCACAATAAATGTAAATGCCAATAGTTTAAGTGAGAAGCTCAAATAATCTAATAGGCCATGACAAGGTATTCCAAAACACCTAATCCATGTTGTTTTCTCCGAATCCACATCCTTAAGTTACCACCTTCTTACCTCTTTAAACCATTGTCCTAACCAACTACCTGTTTCATCAACCAAAGCCTGCAACCCTCCATTCACCTGCTCCTCAAGGAGGCAAAGGTTAGCTCCCACGGGAGTTGCTTTGACATTGAAATAACCCTCAAAATGGAAGATATTCTGCATTTTGTATGTTAAACATGGGGCGGCCACAACTTCCATAAAAGCTTTATTGAACCTATTTATTATTAAAGCGGTAATTTAATATTTGTTATATTTGGAATATTCTCTCTTAGGGCCTATGTGACATTCTTATCTTTGCTATCTTTGTGTATAAATAGGTGTATTAGGTTTCATTAATTAATTCAATTCGTTTTCAATCATTTGTAGCAGCTTTTTATCATTCATCATTTTCTCTCTTTTTCCTCAATTTCATCATCTTGCATCAACAAAATTGGTATCTAGAGAACTTGGTTCTTCTTAATTTCTAGGAAACACGAGTGAAAGTGAACTGTCTGTTTGATTTCTGTTGAATCTTCAACAAAATCTGAACAAAATCACATTGATTCTGTGGGTTTGGGAAACACTGAGTGAGATCTAAGATCTACGATTTGTGCAAGGTTTAAGATGAGTGAAGGCAATAGTTTGAACACTAAACTTCCAGTTTTTTATGGCAAAAGCTGGAACAGATGGATGATACAGATGCGTGTGCGGTTTGGTGTTCATGATGTTCTAGATCTTGTTACCAATGGTTATGTTCTAGTTGCAGCATATGCTACTGAAGAACAAAGATCTACAAAAAGAGATACGAGGAAGAGGGATCGGAAAGCTATGTTCTATATCCACCAGTGTATGGATGAAAGTGTGTTTGACAAGATTGTTGATTCGATGATGTCGAAAGAGGCATGGGATATACTAGTCAGATGTTATGGTGATGAAGCTCAGTGAAGAAGGTGAAGCTTTAATCCCTAAAAAAGAAATATGAGAATCTCAACATGAAGAATAGTGAGAAAGTTTGAGTACATCTCAAGAATGATTCTGATCACTAATAAGATGAAAGTTTGTGGAGAAACACTTTCTGAACAGGTAATCATATAGAAGATTCTGAGGTCGCTTACTCCTCAGTTTGATTACATTGTTGTTTCTATTGAACATTCTAAAAATATGGAAACCATGAGAATAGAATAGTTGCAAATCAGACTATAAGCGCAGGAGTTGCGTCTGACTGAAAGAACTTTTGAGAGGGAAGTTGAGCAAGCTCTGAAGGCTTCTTTTGTCAAGAAGGACCAGAAGCAGAATAGACGTGGTGATAAATTCCAGAAGTCAGAAACCTCAACTTCTGATGAAAAGAAATATCAGAAGGGAAAGGAAAGGTATGACAAGAAGAAGGTTCAATGTTACTGTTGTAAACAGTTTGGCCATTTTGCCAGAGATTGTAGAAACAGAGGAAGAAAATCAGAAGAAGCAAATATAACCAGAGGAGAGTCTGATGATGAACTTGTGCTACTGATGACTTCTGATTCTGATGAAAAGTATTCAGAAGATTGGTGGTATATGGACACTGGTTGTTCAAACCACTTGATTGGAAACAAACAATGGCTGATAGACTTTGACTCCAGAAGGATAACAAAGATCAGATGTGCTGATGATAAGTATCTTAATACAGAAGGTATGGGAAATGTCAGAGTTAGAGTGAAGAATGGAAAAAACATTATGATCAAAGATGTTTGGTATGTTCCTGGAATTAAAATCAATATGATGAGTGTGGGTCAGCTTATTGAGAAAGGTTTCTCGGTTGTTATGAAGGACAACCTCTTGACATTATATGATTCCAATCAGAAGTTGAAGATTTTGAGAATAAATGGTGGAGGTGAGTATAACTCTACAGAGTTCCAGAAGTTCTGTGAGGAGAATGGAATAAAACATGAGATTACTGCTCCATATACTCCTCAGCACAATGATCTTGCTGAAAGAAGAAACAAAACTTTGCTTGATATGACCAGAAGTATGTTGAAAGAGAAGAAGCTACCTCACATGTTATGGGGAGAAGTTGTTGCCACATCAGCATATGTTTTGAATAGGTGTCCAACGAAGAAGCTGAAGGAAATTGTTCCTTTAGAAAAGTGGAGTGGAGATAAGCAAAGTGTTAAGTTTAAGCTTGCATGGAGTTTATATGTAAGTACCCTCTTGAAGTTTTTGTTGGCTCAACCTGTCCTAAAAGGAGTAATCGGGTTCTAGGAGCCTCAATATCACTGATCTTTCTCTCGGGCATTGTTACAACATGAGCATCTAAATTGCGGCCGAAATATCCCGAAATTCCAATCTCAATAAGTGTAGTATCGAGTATCAACCAACTTTAGTCTACACCAAAGCCAGCCATCTCACTACTTTCTAATGGCTAAGTTGTGTCAACTAAGGCTCTAAAGCTAGTTAGTGCTTATGAAACCACGTAGCAGCCCAACATTCTCCTTGACTTACTCAAGGGACACCAGCACCAACCAATGTATCGCACTAATGTAGCCACTATTTAAACCATATCAGTCTACGTCGTATAGTTTTCACGATCTATTGCTACTTACCTAAAATACCTCAAGATCCAGGTATAGGATCTATACAAGAAATATACCCAAACATAACCCGAAATGTAAAGCATACAAGTGTTGGCTGAAAATTTTGATGATACAGTTCGAAATGAAGCAATATGGATGTTTCATTGGAATAAAGCAAAATGTTACAGTTCAGAATGGTAGAAGCGGTTCTTCGAACGGACATGTCAAAGCTCGGAGCTTCGAGTGACAATTGTGAAGATATATTTAAAAGAAGCCTCGAAGTGGTAACGAGAATGTGTTTGTGAAATGAGTTCGAAGCGAAGATTGCCAAGGCATTTGAAATTCAAACGCGAGCAGGATGTTGGAATTCAAATATATATGCGCTGGAGCGTTCAAAGACGCGTGGAAGCTAGAGAGGAGCAGTGCTCTGCATGTTCCGAATGTAGCAGAATCTTATAAGCAAGACCGTTATGGTCGAAGTAGTATAAATAGAAGTCTTAGTGTTAGGATTTCGTGTGTCATGTCTATTGTACAAAATTCAGTAAACATTCAAAATACCACATAGATAGGGAAACGAATGCTCGAACAATGTACGTATGATAACACCAAACATTTATAATTCAGTAAAACTCTTTATCTTTTCCAGTTTATCTTCCATTTTCATGTCAATGTCATTCAAATACCTTTACATTCAAAGTCATTTACTTATTTCTTGCATTTAAACGCTTTTCTTCTATTCGAATCCTTTACATTTCAGAGACTCTTTTACATTTCATGCTTTTATATTCATGCTTTTTACATTAAAGTCTTTACATTCAAAGTCATTTACTTATTTCTGCATTTAAACATTTCTTTGCAATCGAATCTTTATTCATTCAATTCAGTTTCGTATTTCTTTACTTGATCATGTCATTAGATTCTTTTAACATGGTAATCGAAGTGAATTGAACGTCTATAAAACATTCTAAATACAAATCCTAACTATGAATATCAGTTTTGCAATTAGATTTATCCAAACGACCAATACCCCATAGGATCAATCTAGTCGATCCTGCAAGTTACCAGAGAGATTAAATAACAGTCATTAAGATTATTTGATAGTTTGGAGGACTAGCGGTTGTTTACCAGAAATCACTGTAAACAAATTGGCACGCCCAGTGGGACAGTCATTGGTCGTTACGAAATTTAAAACAAAGTAAAGATTGTTAGGATATAATCATTGTAAAAGTTCTTTCTGAGTGATAAGTTCGTTGTTATATGAACCTTAGAAGTGGTAGAATAACCAATAGCAACCAACCCTTACCCAGAAGAAAACGTAATAACAAGATGTCTAATCCAAACAATCAACAAGGGGAATAAAATGCCCCACATGGAACATGAACTAATATGTCTGCTTCGACGAGAACGTCTAATGCGATCCCTTCGAGCGCACAGTCTGTTGCATTCTCTACCAGTAGTGTAGCCACGAATGGAACAAGTGGCATGTCGACTAATAGTTCGATCCTAGGAAATACAGGAACCACTGGTTATCCTGGGGGATTTGTCCCACCATCACGGACACAAACCCATTTCGCCACCCCACCACCAACTAGACCACCCAGTTTCGATGGTAATAGACCCAGAAATCTCTCTTATGGGATGCCAACATCTTTTATGGCGGGTCTGCACACTTCGACATCGAATACGTCACCACAATTAGGGTCTGGATCTGGGGCTAATCAATTTATGACAAATAACCAAGGGTCAGTAGGTTATAGTGCATTGCCTATCTTAACCACAGAAAATCAGATGGCTTTTAGGCAATTAATGGATGATAGTAACCATAATATGATAGGAGTGTT